TATTATAGTGAGGATAGTCGCTAAGTCAGCCGGCTCGCCGTGTGCGGCTCCCGCGCCATGGGAAAGGCAAACAGACCGCGAGCACGCCAGGGGTGGGGGAGGGAAGGGGAGGGGGAGGGAGTTCCCCGGGGTGACAGACAGACGGCACCGCCACTACTGCCCCGGGCGGTTTTATGCCCCGGCCGCACGGGGGAGGCAGGCGCAACAAGAATGCAGCATAGCGCTCGTGGGAAAAGCGCGGACGTCTATGAAATGTCCCCTACTCCCCTGTGCGTCTTATGCTCTCTTCTTCAGAAGTTTCCCTACAGGAAATTTGCTGGCCAAGCATCGACTCGCATGTTGTTATTAGTCGCACATTTAAAATGCCCGTTTCCACTTGTTGATTTTGTTTTTTCTGGTCGTGCGTATCACAAGAAGTGTTCTGAGCAAACATGTAAAACATGATGTAGGCAATCGCTTGAGGTAGAAGGAAACGCGACACATGTGACTGCGGTCATGGATGTCTATGTGATATCTTTTGGAGGCGGACAGATACCCGCACAAGCAGACACTCGTGAGCTAAAGTGCACCGTCAGTCACTCACGGGTCAGATCAAGAAGCGCAAGGTGAGGTGGGGGAGGGGGGGAGGGAGAGGAGGGGAAAAGGGGCGCCGACGGGGACCGTTCAAAGCGTGTTGTTTAAGGGGGGGGGGGGGGGGGGGGGGTGAGAGGGTTGGCCAGGGTGGGGTGCAGCTAATTTATCGCTGAGACAGAAGAAGGTGGAAGCGCGCGCATAGCGTGGCGGGGGAGGGGGGGCAATTGGGGCATTGTAGTCTGAACACAATGGCTGTAATCGGATGTCCGATAGTCCTGGAAGGGAAGAGGGGCGGGGGTGGGGGGGTGCGGCGGGTGTTAGCTGGCGCACGAAAGATTTGAAGAGGGTGGGGGCGCAGCGAGGCCCGGCACGAAACCCGCTATTTAAGATTGAAACCTGCTTCTTTGTATTGGCGAGTTTCTATCGTACTCTCTCTCTCTCCCTCGCTCTCTCTCTCAGAGTTCCCATAGCTAGACTACATAAGTTAAAGAGGGGGGAGAGAGGGAGACAGAGAGAGGGGGGCGGGGAAAGGGAGACAGAGAGAGGGAGGGGTGGCGTCGCCGTGTGGTCTGAGGCGCCCTGCTCAATGGTCGCACTAATTTCGGACTTAGCTGGGCGCCAACCGCGTCCATACCGTCCAGACCCCATTTCCCTCGCATACGCGTATTCATTATGAAGGCACTGAAAGAGAGGGAGAGAGAGAGGTGGGTTGGAGAAGCTCCGCTTAGTGTGAGTGAGGTAGGGACGGAGAGAGAGAGGGAGACCTTACTCGCTAATTGAGTTTCCCGCGGCTTGTCTTGCCAGGGACTGACCTTTGCGCGTGTCCACGCGTCCTTACCCCGCCGCACCCACCCTGCTCCACCCCTGCTCCGCTGAGCCCCTTAAAGCTCGCGCCACCACAATTGGACGGAATCGCACTTAATTGGCCCGATTTGGCTAATTGAGCGAGAGAGAAAGAGTGAAAGAGAGGGTGAGCCGCGCAGAGGGTGGGTCGAGGGCTCGGCGGCTCTGCTCCTGCCCAGAGGGAGGAGACAGAGGGACGAAAGAAGTTGATGCGCCTCTCCGCTTGTGACATTACACACATTTTTTAGACCACTATAACTTTAGAAAGTTTTCGTTACTATAAAAGTGTTTTTGTTTTTGTTTTTTTAACTTTTTCATATTTTCCTCTTTTGTTGTGTTCTATTTAGTTTTCTGACTGTGTTTTTGTCTGGTCTGTTGCATAGTATGCTTTGATAAGCGATCTAAATCTGAGTGCTCACCTCCCTCCTTACATGTCGCACCGCCTCTCCTGATAGAGAACAGTAAACTATCTTGATTTCTCATCTCACCCGTATTGTGTGTATAAGGGTATTCGATTCGGGGATTTTCCCACTCAAATCTGAATAATTCAGGCGATAGTCCTCTGGAAACACCCCTTCCCTATATTTGAAAGCCGTATGTGTTTGCTCCGGTGAAGAAGTTACTCTCGCAGTCGAAGACGTGTTTTCTTTCCATACACCTCCTTCCCTCTCTCTCCCTCACCCATGCACCCTCCTAACCCCCCTCACACTTCCCTTCCTCCTCTCTTTCCCCCACCCTATCGGCCGGTAATTGGCGTTCGTTTGCGAGCTGCTTCCAACAGGTTTACGTCGGAAGAGACCCTAAGGTGGAAGGTGGGGCGAGGGGGGAAAAACTTGTCATGACAACCTCTCCTCGAACCAATCAAAACGTAGCGACGTAATGGAACGCTTCCGCCCATTTGGACTCTTTTATGTTGTCGTATTTTATATTTGCGCCAGCCCATACGTCATAGTAGCCCCTACAAAGTTTTGGGTTCACTCCGATCCTGCGAAATTATTTTCAGATGAGATTTTGACAAATCTTTGCCTAAATTTGCATATGGAGCCTGTCTTATATATGTGATGACTAGGGTCTGTGCATCAGAAGAAATGAGGACAATAGTCATTGGCTACTCCGCCTCCCCTTCCACCACCCCCACCTCCTTGCGACCTCCTGTCTCTGTTCTACACGGAGGGCCCCCTGCTGGGAGAACGATAGGGTCTAGAGTGCTGGTAGGAAGTTTGCAAAAAATTACGTTGCAAAATGTACAATCATCCGATGTAGGAATAATTTACACTTCTCGAAAGGTCATCTACTGTTTTTATTATAATAATTGCCAGAAACAAAGAAATCTCCCACCGATGTAAAATTGTTTAAATGTCATTTTGTTAACAAGGTCTGTTTCCTTTATGTTGCAGGTGTGGTTCCAGAACAGACGAGCCAAGTGGCGCAAACGGGAGAAGGCCTTGGGCCGTGATACCGCCCCCTTCCTGCACCCGCCGCCATCAGGTAACTAAAAACTGCACGTCTTACCGCTTCTTGAGTATTGTTTTCACCGTCTACAGCAGGCATCATGCCTCTCTGCAATCTCACCTGACCTTGTTCGCCTTTGCTCACCAGGTCTCCCCGACTTCGGCGTGCACCCCGGCCTGGGCCTCCCTCACCCGCTGGGCCCCGAGCCCTTCTGGCCCGGCCTAGTGCTGAACCCGGCGCTTGGCCTCCCCGGCGCGCCCCACTTCCCGTGGCCGTCGCTGCAGTCGCTGCAGTCGCTGCCCGGCCAGCCCTCCAAGGCGCTGCACATGCTGTCGCAGTACATGCTGGCGGGCGGACTGCCCTTCATGCACGGGCCGCACGGGCCGCCGTCGCCGCCGCCGCTGCGCCCACACCACCCGCACCAGCCCTGCCCGTCGCCGCCGCCGCGCTCCGCCTCGCTCAGCCCCCAGCAGGCGCCGCCCCCGCCCAGCCACAGCCCCCTGGACGCGCGCAAGGGCTCCAGCATAGACAGCCTCCGGCTGGCCGCCCGGGAGCACGCGCGGAGGGAGGCGCTGAGCGACAGCCCGTGAGGCGACATCCCCCGTCCCGCACCCATCGGCTGTGGACTCTCGAACCGTTTCTAGTCAGGAAATGCCGAGAGAGAGAATGTGCTGAATTGAAAATTGGATGAATGTTGTCGCGGGATGAGAAAAGTGTCGGCACTCCATGGTTTATGTCATGAAATCGGAGTGCTACTGGATTTCCCTCAACATCTCCCCGTATTTAATGTTTTGTCATTAGTTAATTTGTGCCATTGTACTTGTTCGGTTTTAAAGGTTCACTGCTGTACTATAGTCCAACATATAATTACAATGAAAGACAATATAATGAAGAACCGTTAAGCCATTGTTTGGCCCTAGTTTTTTTCATGTCTATGATGTTAGCTACAGCAGAGAAATTAAGACAGTAATCACTGACAGTAAAGCATTAGCTGTGAAACTGTAGTATACAGTAATTTAATATTGTTTTTCATATGAATACCAAAACAATGGTTCAATAATGTGCTGCTTTAGATACTGTACTTGTTATTATGCTTCTTTATAGATATATTATAATAACTAACTATACGTTTATGTTAAACTAGATTTAATTAAACTTAAATCGATGCAAAGATATGATATATTTCTTGTTTTATTAAAAAGAACTTACAACTAAAAATTCTTCTTTTTGTGGATTTATTTTCTATTTTTAACCAGTTTTATTGTCACTAATTGCGCTTGTTTCTTGACATATTTGAATACCTTTTTTGTGAGGTCGGCTGTGCTGGCATACTCGTATTCCGGGAAAAGAAAAGGAAAGAGTTGAAACACAAGCCTAATGACACATACTTATACACACATTCACACCTCTGGAGACTAATTACATGTGGTCCGCACCCTAAAAGGCCTCTTGGCGAGAGAGAACGACTTAATTTTGGCACGAAATTCGCAATCCTTGGTGCATGCATAGACAGAGGCAAAAAATAAAATAAGACTGCATAAATAGCCACACAAAAAAGGGGGAGAGAGATTACAAAGATAGAGGGAGTGAGAAGTAGGAAGATAAACGGTTCCTATGCTCCAGAAAACCAAATGTAAGTCAGATTCAATAATTTCAGTTCCAGTGACAAGTGTAATTTTTTAATTTCCAAATGAGGAAGATCAGTGTAGCTTCATTGTTTCCTCTTGAAGTTTGTCACGACGTGCACGACGGTGTCAGCAGGGATAGGAAGCGGAGGCAACATCGCAGAGGCGTGGAAAAGGAGGGAGGCGGGGGTAGATAGGAGGGGAAGGAGGAAGGGGTGGATGGGGATGAAATAAAAGGCGTGATAGGCGGAGACAGCGAAGAGAGGCGTGGTGGGGAGAGAATGAGAAAGATGAAATAAGCGAGACGCGTTTGATTACACGTTGGTTGCAGTAACGGCATTACTCGGTGCCCGGGGCCGCGCTTTGTCACTCGTTGGTGGAGACTATAGCCACATTTATTTTTTCGCAAACCGCATCACGCCTTTTAAAAGAGGTGAAGCACAGCTCGTGTGTGTAAGAGTTGGCTGGTAATTGCGGGCGCTGCCATGTGTGCGAGAGAGAGGGAGAGGGGATGGGAGAGAGAGAGAGAGAGAGAGAGAGAGAGAGAGAGAGAGAGATGGGGCGCACGAGTAGGGGTCATGCCAGTGTTGGCTAGTAATGATCCCATTTTCTCCAACGGCGGGGTCGCAAAAAAAACGAAACTCCGGGCGCGGAGTTTCAAATTTTGTCCTATTGGACTTTATTTTCCACCACCACCCTCGCTGTGGTCACTTAACGCCCAGCGGGCGGCCACAGCGTGTGTACTTTGAGCTCTCTAACAACTGCAAATTGTATTTTACCAAAAAGTGACGGGTGAATAAGGGGGGACAAAACTGCTTACATCTTTCATAACAACAGTTTCATTTAGACCTACTTGTGTAAGTAATTAGTCTAAATAATTGAGCTTATCGAGCAATTTTATGAAACACAAAAATATCTGTACTAGAATGTTCCTTTTATTTCATTGTGCATGGACGGACGGGTTTAATGTATTTCACTAAAGCATAGCCGATGAACAAGTTTATTGTCATGCAAACAATGAGTAGGGTTGAAGGGTAACGATGGCTCTTTGGCAGAGTGTGGCACACAACACGCAGGTCCAGGTCACTAACACACATGCAAACACCCACACACGCACTCACACACATTCCGCAATGTGGACGTGTACGAAAGTAATTTCCCCCGCTTTGCATCGAGGGAAAAAAACAAACGAACACGACGAACAATCACGTTGGCATCATTGAGAGGCTGATGTCATGTATTGGCAGCACTGCGAGCGAAATCACAATCCTGTGATTGGACTGCAGAGGGACAGTGTCGCCCTCTTCCGATAAAGCGCTGCGAGCTTCACAGACGCACAAAACTTCCTCTCTCTCACTCTCCCTGTATATCTCTTCCACTCACTCACTCACTCACTCACTCTCTCTCTCTCTCTCTCTCTCTCTCTCTCTCTCTCTCTCTCTCTCACACACACACACACACACACACACACAAGGGAAATGAGTTTTTCGGTTTCATATGAAGTGAGAACAAATTTGCCAAAGGATCGCCCGAGGCCATCGCCGGTCGGTCCAAAACAAAAGACGATACGTGAGTGAATATCTCGTGGATTTGGCCGGTGCGGCTACGGCTGAAAGGCCACGCCGCAAATATAAAAACCGACCAGACAATCTGTTGTGGCTTCGGGACAAATAAATATGTGTGTGTGCGCGCGCGCGACGGGGGCGACGTTATGGCGCGGTGGCGTTTAAAAGCTATGTGTGGAATCACACTGAAATTGAAGAGGTAGAAAGGCACGCGAGACCGAAATTGGCGGGGAACCGGGTAGGAAGGGGGGGGGGGGTGAAAAAAAAGAGGAAGTGACAGTGAGAGGGAGTGGGGGTGCGGGGACACCAGGCAGACAGAAGTCATGCTGCTGCCATTGTGGCCCCAATCGAAGGGGATCAAAAACGATATGGAAGAGGAAAAAGAGACCAACATTCATTAGACAGAGCTTTTTTCTGCCGTTTTCCTTTTCTTCCGGTGTTGGGGTGCGCAGGTGTGGAACAACTCTTTTGATGCCGCGATATCCTGGCTGCGCCAGAAGGGCTGGCCGGAGGCAGGGAAAGAGACCAAAGGCGAAAGCCCGGGGATGGAGTAGCGATGGGGCAGTTACCACCCACAGTAATGACTAGAAACGACATACTATGACGAAATGATCCGAGGGAGAGAGAAAGGCTAGGGGGCAGGAGAGGGGGGGAGGGA